GGCGATAGGTGCGAGGTATAATGGTTCTAATGGTAGGAGAGGCAGTTATTCAAAACGCCTGGGCAAAGGTGCGAGGGGAGTGCCATAGGGCTCAGAGGTTGTCTCGCAGAGGGCAAACTCTAAAGAGAGGGACCATAGGTATTCTACCAAACACGATAGAAGGTGAAAGGGTGAGAGCAGGGGTCTTGTAACAGGGGATATCTAAGGTTAAAGGCTGAGAGAAAGAGGTGTTTAACGCAGGAGATCGAAGGTCAAAGGGTGAGAGCACAAGACATCTCACAAACCAAAGATCGCCTACCAGCGAAGATCGAAGGTCGAAGGGTGAGAGCACAAGTCTTCTAAAAGAGCAGAGATCGTCTACCAGAGAAGATCGAAGGTCAAAGGGTGAGAGCAGAGGTCATCGAAGGTCAAAGGGCGAGAGCAGAGGAGGTCGAGGGTGAAAGGGTGAGAGCACAGAGGTCGTCTACCGGAGGCGACGTAAGGTCCAAGGGCGAGAGCAGAGACGGAGGCGTGGGCGTGTGGGGGGCGAGGGGGCGTCGTACCTTTCTGGGACTCGCGGCGGCGCCGCTTTAGCGGTTCGCCCAGCGCGTCGAGCCCCTCCTCGTCCTCGCGCTCCAGCGACACCGAGCGCTGGCGCAGGGTCTCCTTGTTGTTGAGCGGCACTGCGGGCGCGGGCGCACACCGCCGGCCGGCAACAGAGCCAGTCACCACGCGCCCCCCGGCCCCGCCTCCCTGGACTGAGTGCGTTCGCCCCCCACTCCACCCCGCGCACCGCGAGTACCAAATTGCCATCGAATGAACATTGCCCCACATTGAGCAGGCTGCTGAGGCCCCTTCCTGGCGTGTATAAAGCAAAAACATATTTTAGTGTTGCAGGGTAGGCTTCCGCGGCCAGTTTCACGTGAAGGCTCACACTTGTCCGGGTGACGCCGCGACGAGGGCGTTGATGCTGACGTTTCGACCGTCTTATCGTGGTCTTCTTCGGGACTGCAGTACGCAGGGGTGGTGGGGGTATTGTACTCTATTAAGGCTGTGACGGGCTCAGGATTTGTTTACTGGTTAGCCGGCCATTCAGGCGAAACCGGATGGTGGCGTGGGGATCAGCCAACCCAATCATGAGCCCGCCATAGCCACTGAGTATAAAAACCCACGCGCACGTCATCCTGGCGCACTCCAGCCCTGAAGAAAACCACGATAAAACGTTCGTGTCAGGACAGTCGAGAACTTACATATTTAAATGTTTCTAACATTTGATATGACGTAATGGAATCACTTAAGCAAACGATTCAAAATTGAGAAATACATACTCAAGAAATTTCGTCCATATTTATTCAGTAGCTCCCACGTGCTTGGCGAGCCGCACCTATTTCCGTTTTGTTTGTCGGAATACAGGGGAAATTCACACGTTCCTTCGTCAAGCACGTTTAGTACAAAATGTGTCCGTGATTTTATATTAGCCATCAAAAAATCTTAATTTCACAAGGACTGTCCACACAAGTGAGTTGGTGAATATTGCGACATTATATAAATTTCAGGCGGCGGAATGTTCGCCTTATTAGAATATGATTTACGATTGCCATTCTGGAAACGTAAATACAAATGTCTGACGACCATTTATTTTAATGAAAAAGAATACGTTTATTGTTTTATGAGTTTTTCAATGGCGACAGACGCAAAAGACATTGAAGATCGTCCTAACGTGGCCGAATCTTTGCTAACGTGGCCGAAGGTTTGCTCAAACCAAAAGGCTGCGTTTCATTTACATGGCCTCGTAAATACCAGGTACGTATTATTGAAAACAATTTATATTTTTCTTACAAAACTCTGAGATTACTATGAAACTTCTAGCGAATTGAAATTATTCAAAATGTATTAGAAGATAAATATACAAGTACATGCTTAAGAAACATATAATGTAATTTCAGTACAAAATTTACACTTTTTAGAATAAAATCGTATTGATAAATGAAAAATTTAAATTAATTTCTAATTCAACCTCAAATACATAGTATTAGAGATTTTACTCGCTTGAATAACATAACATCGTTTTCCAGATTAAGTGAATCGGCGCCTTCTGGAGTAGTAATGTAATAATTTGGGCGTGTAGTTAAACCTCCCAATCCATTGAAATCACCACCGTGCGGTAGTAGGAAATAACTCTCCATGCGAATTATCACCCGAGTCCGCCGATTGTTAGAAGCGAACAGTGGGAAACCAGCAACACACCCAGACAAAGAGCAACATAAAGCCCCAAGCCCACACTCAGTCCACACAGCCCACAACACAATGCAGACATTCAGTTCCCTGCTATAATGAGCTGCCGTTAAAATTGAGGAACAGCTCCCAGAGAAATACAGAAGAATCTGAATGAATAGCCAGAAAACACAGATACTGTCATACCAAACACATAGAATTATAAGCAACATCTTCTCTTCCCATCAGGAACACTGTAAAATAAAGCTTACACATCAAAAGCAAATGCGACAGTATTACATATTTTCACAAATATGATTATTTTGTCTGCTGTATTTTGGCACTTTATGAAAAAAAAAACTCTGATGTTAAATTAAAGAGACGCATGCTAAATTAAAGACGTTTCTGAATTCTCTACAATACGTTTTTCGGTGCAGTGTGTATCACACATGAAATAAAAATAATAGACGGAGATAAATCAAACTGTTACTATTTTGAGGCAATGGTTTAATGAGTTCGAAGAAAGGTATTAATAGGCCTAATACATCATCACAATTATTTTGAGTAACATCCACGTCAAGAATGATAAATTCTTCTCATCAAAGTGATTTTTGGCACAAAGAAAATGATAAGTGCTTCTAACAGAAAGTGTAATGTCATATATAAGCATATACGTTCTATCAATAGCGGATTTAAATAAGGAAATAATTTTATATTTGAAGACTGCGAGTTTGAAATCAACGTTGAAAGATCTATTACATATTGGTCCTTTTTTCAATAGACCAAGCGAATTCATTTTGTGGTTTCGTTTATGTATTATTTTTTCGGTGTGCACGAATTCGATATTTTCTATTAACCTCACGTTTGAAAATGTATTAAATCAAGATAATTAATTATGCCGCAAAAGTACAAAGTTTTGCAGTTTTTTCTACGTTAAACATTAATCTGCACAGTGACTTTGATAAAACAATACACTCTTGCCCTATAAAGTATTTCATCGTGATATCATCCTATAAAGATTCAATGAAATCTAAAACCTAATACTATTAAATGGTGTTAGTGCTATTAAATAGTATTATCTTAGATAGTAATAGAATCGTAAATAGTAATAGAATAAAGGTTTAATTGTTTAAATATGATATAAATAATTAATAATTACATTTAAAATATTTAATAGGCTACGAGTATACATAAATTTATTTTCAGTTCGTTTTTAATATCTTTACGTTCATAGAAAGAGACAGGTTTTCTGGTCGAGGGACACATATAATCTCATTAATTTGTGAACATTGCCTCGTTTTCTCTGATAGTACTAAAAAATTAAGAAGAAATCACATAATTGAAGAAAAATTAAACACTTGAATACAAGCTCTACTAAAATAAAAAATTAACTGCCCATTATTTTAATATTCTTCGCCGAAATAATCCAATAAAACAAAAATGAGTGCATTTCATTACTTGGAATGAAATTTCATATCCCGAGCTATAAAAGTATACGTGCCTATAAAACCCAGATCTAAATTTATGAATTTGTTTGCTTTAAACAAGAATCTTCATCGATCAGAGGCCCCAGTGACAATGACTAATCGGAGCTTATTTGTCACAGGGGCTTTAAGTTTCGACAGCAATGTGACTGTTATAAAATTGAACTCTATTAAACAGCGACGTCACACAAGCGCTAACTAGCAGAATGTAGGAATAAATTTAAACTTTATAGTATACCGTATTTACGCAAATCTAATGTGCACCGTTTTTGACTAAATGTCGCACTCAAAATCGTGGTGTGCATTAGATTTGAGAGCAAATGCGTTCCACAGAACGCCAGTAACTTCATTCATCTGTTTCGTTTATTATGTCACAATGGATTCCAGGAGTTTTCAAATTCCCCTTCGTTCATTTATCAATTACCTATTATTGAGGGGTTTTAGCTACGATATGGAGGGAAAACAGAGAAGAACGACTTATAATGCTTCATTAAAGCGTAACTCAGTTAGCAGTAAAGCAGTAATAATGCGAATTATGTTTACGACAAATTCATTGTTGCATTACATAAATTTAAACAACATGTCGTTTCTATAATTCTGTCATTGATGAGCATTACATTCGATACAAAACCTTTTTTTCATAATTTCATGTTTTAAATATGGGGTGCGCATTAGTTACGATGGCGTATTAGATTTGCGTAAATACGGTATATTGATTAAGTAGTTACAAAAAGTGACGTCTTCTTTAGAAGCGGAATTAATACAAGGGTTGAGTACTTCATTTTCGGTTGTTTTCGCGTCCAAGCGCTAGTCTTCCGCTGGGCTGACAGCCAGCGTTGCCAGATGATCAAATATATATCCCGGAACCAACCTTCAAAAATCCTGGCGCTTTCACTACAATTTCTGGTACTAATGTCAAATGATTTAATTTTTAAATTTTTTCATGACACTAGCATGTTTTTAACACGCACAGGAAGTTCATTAAAGTCGATATCGACTCAATACAAACGATTCTATAAAATGAATGGAAAACTAAGATGTACTGTTCTTTTCACTATAGCATGTGCTAGAAAAAACCCTCTAATGTTACCCTTAATGTTTTTATGGCAGGGATTTCACCAACATCATAGGTATTCGTAATATTCGCGTTAATTAGTGAATAAAAAATTAACAAAGGAATCTGAAATA